CAAAACGTAGCATTGTTTTTCCGTCTGTATTATGTAAAATGCATGATCAATGAGCTCATTAATTTCACACGGAAAACAAGGTGAAATATTTTTTGCCAGGAACTAAAGGGCAAAATTTAAACTGAAAGCTGCTGTATGACGGCTTACCTATTATTTCATTCGTTTATTTGAAGGTTCGACTTTACCTTTTGGAAAAAAAACAAGTCTTTGAAACATTTTTTCATATCTTTCCTAAATTTGTACTGCTTATGATTGCAGCCAAGGTTACTTCCATTTACTTTGCTACAGAACATTTTTTATGGAATTATGTTATCATTAAATGTTATGATTAAATGTTATGATTAAAGTTTGCACAAATATGTTACAATACGCGATTGGTTAAATTTTACTTACAAAGAGTCACAATCAGTGATTTTCTGATTCCTTAGCGCTCATTGTGAGCTAAGGCTGACGAATCATATAACCGATGATTATGGCTCTCTAAAAGCTATATTGACAGGTTTCATGTGTGGGGAATCAGATAGTCTAGTCAGTAAAGGCACGGTATTACCTAACCGGAGACGGCGGGTTCAATTCTCGGCTAGTGTAGAATATCTTTCGGGTTGAAAACGTTCTCGACCTCCCTAGGCATAGAGTATCATTGTGCTTTCTACACAATATACCAATTCATGCATTGTTTCGCATAGAAAGCTCTCAACTGATAATTGTGGAATTTCATATAGGACACTGAAATTGAAGGATTGCAAAACGCTCGCTACCGTGTCAAACACAAACTTTACAACCTCTTCTAGCACCAATGCTACCGACGCCAGGAAGGAAGCTCCCACACTTGGGACCTACCTATCGACCCATCAACTCATGAACCAGGGTCCAACGGATTTACTTCCCTTCCGAAGGAAGGCGTGATCAGAGATGTTATGCCTCAGAACATCCCGGCAGCGCCGACTGGGATTGAACCCAGTCCTGCTGGAGTGAGAGGTAATCACGCTTACCACTACACCACCGGCGCCGCTTACCTTTTCTTGTAACTTACAATTACACAATAGCAATATAATATTTAATAATTTCATACTTCTGTGCAAAACATGATGTATAGCAAAGTGAGTTGAAGCAACCATGGTTGCAATATTTCATTCAGTTGGTCAAATGGTCGCATACTGATCATGTGTATATGAATGTAATCACTAAACAACAAAAACACATAATACATTACATACATACATTACAATAATCTAATACATTAGGGACATTATCGACGTCAGGACCTATCGCGGCGCACATATCGTTTCGGACCACTACCTTCTAATGGTCAAGGTGTGCCAAAAACTTTCCGTTGCCAACAACATTCGGTACTGACGACCACCACAGTACAATCTGAAGCAACTGAAGCTGCCCGAAGTCGCAACTGAGTACGTGCAATGCCTCGACGCAGCGTTGCCAGATGCGGGAGAGCTCACCGAAGCCCCTCTTGAAGACCGCGCTGCTGAAGGCGTTTGTGGTGCGGAATCGACGGAACGATTGGTTCGACGAAGAGTGTCAGACGGTTTTGGACGAGAAGAACGCAGCGCGGGCGCCGATGCTGCAGCAAGGAACCCGTCATAATGTGGAGCGATATAAACAGAAGCGAAGGCAGCAAACCCATCTTTTCAGGGATAAGAAGCGCCGCCTGGAAGAGCTGGAGTGCGAAGAAATGGCTGTATCGTTCTCAAGAAACACGCAAGTTCTACAAGAAACTCAACGCATCGCGCCAAGGCTTTGTGCCGCGAGCCGAAATGTGTCGGGATAGGGAAGGGGTATCTTAACGGACGAACGTGAGGTGATCAAGGAATCAAAAATATGACAAAATGACAAAATGACAAGCGATCAACGAACCGAATAATAACGCTATGTCAGAAATGTAAAGCAATAGTGATATAATAGTTTTTTTTTCATGACAAGCTGCTTCACGAAGCAAAGGCGAAGATGATGCACGTGTGTTAATGGGATTTTTTTGTTATGTCTTTTCTCGATTCATATCTAGCTATGTCCTCATCCGTGTATATTGCAACAAAGCAGGCAAGCAATATATCATTATCCTTGTAACAGTCGGATCGAGCTATGTTACAGAGCGAGTTTGTCATGGTAGTCGTAGCAACCGTTTTGTCTGTATCGTTGGTTGCTTTATGTGTTTGGATTCACTGGAGGTTATTGAAAGGTGGAAGCAGCACTACGATGAACATCTGAACGGCACAGAGGAGGAGGACCAAGGCGGCAGGAGGAATGGCTTCGTCGGTACAGCGGATAAGGGGGACATGCCAGCTCCCACGATAGGTGAAGTTAAGGATGCTATCCGACCACTTAAGATCAACAAAGCAGCTGGAAAAGATGGTATCGGAGCGGAACTTAACAAAATGGGCCCGGATAAGTTGGCCACTTGTCTGCTCCGACTGATAGTTAGGATCTGGGATACAGAACAGCTACCGGAGGAGTGGAAAGAGGGAGTAATATGTCCAGTATATAAAAAAGGCGACAAACTAGAATGTGAGAACTATCGAGCGATCACTATTCTTAACGCGGCCTACAAAGTGCTTTCCCAGATCATCTTTTGCCGTTTATCACCGCTAGCAAGCAGATTTGTGGGGAGTTATCAAGCCGGTTTTGCGGACGGGCGATCGACAACGGACCAAATCTTTACGTTGTGGCAGATCCTTCAAAAGTGTTGTGAATATCAAGTCCCTACGCACCACCTATTCATCGATTTCAAGGCCGCTTATGATACTATTGACCGTGAAGAGCTATGGAAGATTATGAACGAGAACGGCTTTCCCGGGAAGCTGACCAGACTGATCAGGGCTACGATGGATGGTGTACAGTGCTGCGTGAAGATATCGGGCGCGTTATCGGACTCGTTTGAAACTCGCAAAGGATTTTGACAAAGCGAGGGTCTTTAACAAGCGGTGCACGATCTACAATAAGTCCAGCCAGTTCATCTGCTTTGCTGACGACGTGGAAATTGTTGGAAGAACGTGTCAGGCCGTGGCGGAGCAGTACACCAGGCTGAAACGTGAAGCAGAGAAGGTTGGATTAAAGGTGAATACGTCGAAGACAAAGTATCTGTTAGCTGGAGGAACCGAGTGGGATAGGGCTCGCATAGGCAGAAGCGTGACAATCGATGGAGATGAGTTCGAGGTGGTGGATGAATTTGTGTACCTCGGATCATTGGTGACGTAGGATAACAACTGCAGCAGAGAAATTCGTCGGCGTATTATTGCCGGAAGTCATGCTTACTACGGACTCCACAAGACCCTGAGGTCTGATAAACTTCACTTCCGTACTAAATTTACCATGTACAAGACGCCGATTAGTTCCCTACGGGCACGAGACGTGGACGATGCTCGAGTGCTTAGGACCATCTTTGGCGGGGTATGTGAGAATGGTGTATGGAGGCGAAGGATGAACCACGAGCCGGCGCAACTCTATGGCGAACCCTGTATCCAGAAAGTTGCGAAAGCTGGGTGGGACACGTTTTAAGAATGCCAGACAACAATCACGCAAAAATAGTGTTTGCCTCGAATCCGGCCGGTACAAGACAAAGATGAGCACAGCGAGCAAGGTGGTTAGATCAAGTGGAGCAGGATCTTGGAAGTGTGGGACGGTCAAGAAATTGGAGACAAGCAGCCACGTACCGAGTAAATTGGCGTAACATTGTGATGCAGGTGCAATCCTGAGGGATGTCGGACCAGGATAAACAAAAAAACAAAACATTCCGATTTGCATAACAAGTACACATAATTTGTAATTTTTCACCGCATGATCAGATTATGTAATGTATTCGTTGGAAGTCCATTTTATCAGCTAAATTTTCACACCAAGGTTGTTTTCCCAAATGTACTGTGACTAGAAAATCATCTCGTGAAGGTTTTATTAGAAAATATCCATTCAAGAAACATTTGCTTGTACTTTACAGTCCATTGTAAGTTCTGTAATTGCGTTTGTTGTAAGGAACATATACAAGGGTTTTAAGAAATCATCACGTACATATCATCGTAATATCATCGATTAAGTATTCTTTCCACGTATTTGCCTCGACTGGAACATTATTTTAAAATACTAGCAGCAAATTTATTTTATTTAACATGTGAACATTTTCTGACTTAAACCGTAAACACTTGAGTAAACATAAGTGGTATTCACGTAGCGCATCGTAAATGATACCATTGAAGTATAATGAAGTTTACGCAGTTACGAGGGCCTACACACTTACGATGTGCTTCACGAATTCTCCTTTTATGAAAATGGTAAAATATTATTCACATCATGAAACGAACTGTAAACTAAAGATAACATGAACGTCACGTGGATGGATGAAATGCAAAACAACAAAGTGTGGCGTGAAGCACGACATAGAAATAATTTGTTGACATGCTACCTAAGTACGAGTTCTCAAAAATGTTTAAAATCCCAAATATTTTTGAGACTGATATCATAACTCAGTTTCTTCACAGCAGTTTCGAGCAGCACAGGTTAAGCTCAAGCCTGAAAAAAACCGCAAACATTTTCTCTCTGCTATGTGCAACCGCTCGGAGCTCACCTCTAAAAGTGCTTATCGTTGCTTTCATTAAGCGATCAAGAATGGAATCGTTTTTGCCGGAAGTTTTTAAATCATAAATTCCTTTGGCCATCAGAAACACAGCTCCGGAATCTCGTAGTACGGACATCCGAACGAACGAATGGTCCCTAGCAGTTCAGGGGCGAATGTTCTACCTGCAATTTAGCGGAAGTTGTATTTTTTGCTCCGACTCAAACCAAACCACTATTCCTATCTTACCCTTTCTCTGGTGGACTCTGCCATTCCAACTCAAATACTCAACATCATCGTTATCATGTTGATTCCGTTTGCTGCCCGGAGCATGTATGAGCGGATTTTTTTTTTTTGCCAAACCGTTGCTAACCAGGTGCCGTTTGTCTGACTAGTTTTTTTTCTCTCGAATTTTGTTGACTCATTTCAGGTCGTCCGGAACCTACCGTAACATGGCTCAACGGCGATGTGGTAATGCAAACAGGTGGCGGTGTATCGATGGGACGCCATGTGACTGTGAATCGCTTGGAGATACACAAAATAACGCGTGCAGCGCTGAACAACACGTACAAATGTCAGGCGTCCAACACGATCCTAGTGCCACCGGCAGAACGGAGTGTCCGGGTGGAGATGCTGCGTAAGTATTGAGAGTAGACCAATATTACGGCACACATTAAGGTATCGTAATAAATAACTTTACCTCTCCTGCAGTACCAAAACTGATAGAACATTTCCGTTTTTCGTGGGTGAAGATATAAATGGCACCTAAATAATTTGCATTGTTCACTTAAATTTATAAAAATAGTCAACGAAATAATTGAAAAATTCCGTAAATTAAAAATTGCAAATATTACTAACCGACCACAAACAATATTCTTTTTGAAATTTCAAATGTTCTATTGCTGCTTTTTTTTATTAATATAAAAGAAAATTTAAAAAGCAGCAATAGGAAACAAATTTTAAACAATTCAAAAATCTTCCCATATTAAAAAATCCTAGATTCAATTCATTTAATCGTTATGTGCATGACGGGGTACCAAAGTACTTCGCATTTGAATAACACGGTGAAGAAAAATTAAAAAATGCCTCACGCACATAAAGGTTAAACATTTCAATAATATATTTAGTTAGCTAAATAACATCAGTAACATAATCACCATTAAATGTGTAATTTTTTTTAATGAAATATTTATCTTTTGACTGGTATTGAAATGCTTACTGAAAGAAATGTTCACATTGAATTAATCCTTATTTGATTTAAATTATCGACTTACCGATACAGTCAATCATTTTAAATCAATCTATTTTAATTGATAATTTTTTTTTTACATGGCGGTAAAATGTTTGAAAGCTAAGAACAAAGCCAGATTGGTTATGCAGGCAGTCCGGATTCTGTTAATATCTATACCTTTAACGCCAAAGTCACCAGTTCAAATTTCATCACGAACAAGTCACAAATAAAATGTGTTAAAATTCGTACAATGTAGGGTAAATGTCGGCTTCGGCACCCATTGACTGTTTTCGGCAACCAAAATTTAAACGTTAATTTCACTATGTTTTCCCATCAACACACTTCCCTGAATGCATCCAAACGATTCTTTAGTCTTTCAGCTTCAATCTGATTGTATGTGTACGTCTGAGCAGTCCTGTTATGCCAGATTTGTATTCAAATGAAGCATACGTACTCTAAAATGGGGTTGATTTCAAGTTGCCGATAATAGAACAGCTGGTTAACACGCAGTTCTAATGGGAAGGTTGCCGAAGAAAACGAGGCTGCCGACAATAGTCACACTCACCTGAGAAGTTTGGAGCGTTGTAAAAACCCTTTCAAACAGTTTTGAAGAATTCTGTCGATTAGAATGGATAGAGAAGCAAGCAGCAGATGAATGTAAACTAACAGACACGTCATATATGTGCGTGACGCTAATAGAAGTGCGGACACTGCTTAGATTGACGAGAATACGTAAATTCCCCTATATGAAAAAAGTTAAGGTTTGTGTCCAAAGCACGACCGCATTTTTGACGTATGACTGCAAGATTAGTTTTGCTCCTCCTTTCATTATATTAATAAAAATAAAATGTAAATTATTAAAATTATTGTAATTGGACGTGGACGTATAAGGACTGAAAAAACGTCACCCCGATTACAAAAACATTCATATTTTGGGGTATTTAGCAGATTTAAAAAAAAATGTGTAATCGGAAGCCACCATCTTGAATTTCAAAATTCCGTCAGACATGGGTCTCCAGTCTTTATACGTCACTCTGATTCCAAAAATACTCAAATTGTATTTGACAGTATTTTTCAGTTCTTCTGTAACAGGATGCCGCCATCTTTGATTTCAAAATGGCGTCAGATATGGATTTCCGGTTCTAACACCCCGATTCTAAAAATACCCATATTATGGGGAATTTAACACTATTTTTTTGATTTTCTGAAACTGTATTGAATTTCAAAATGGCGTCAGGTTTTGATTTCCGGTTCCTACAAGGCTCCCCGATTAAAAAAATACCCATGTTGTGGGGTATCTTTTTCCTCTGTTCGGGACCTAACACCACTGCTACCAGTAATTTGATCTATTGTAGTTTATACCGTGTCCTTAGTTTAGTGCATGTCGTATTACTTCATCACTATTGAGAAATGATGAAGTATTCGATATTTTTAAACAGTTGTCATTCTTGCATTAATCGCAAGGATCCGACTCTAATTGAAAGGTTCCGCTATTTATACCCTTCGGAGTGTTGGAACACCCTCCAAAGGCGCGCCCCTCTGTCAGTCAAAATTGGATTCCTTAGCAACAAAATTAAGGAACGACACCGATAATGACCATGCATCAGAACCCTAGTCTTAACCACTTCAAACCTAGGGAACAACCAATAGAAGATTAGGAATCTCATAGATGAAGACTAACTAACTCATGTTTTCCTTGTTTCAAGATCATTTTCGGTGGACAAAGCTGAGTCTTGTCATTATCACCAAGGCATAACAAGTATCAAGAACTAATATGTGTTCCTTTGATCACTGGAAATTCCTGTACCCCTAGTTTGAAGTAGTGAGGACTAAGATTCGGTGGTAGATCTTACATCCCGTAACGTACCACGAAAAGGGGATCTACCCACGATACGGGCAATGGGGTATTTGATAGTACTTCTCAGTTTTTCGGAAACCGATAGCCGCCATCTTGGATTACAAAATGGTGTCAGACATATCCTACTTGTCACTCCCGTTCCAAAAATACCAAATTGTGGGCTATTTTACAATATTTTCAAGAACCTCTTTTAACGTTTAAATCCCAAATAACGAGTTTTTAAGCACTAATTCGAAACCCCCGGTTTGGTTTGTAAATGGAGGTTCCAGTGGGCTAATTCAACGTGAAAATTTAGTGCTTATTAGCTAGAGAAAGTTCTGAAGTGGATGGATTGATAGTTCCACTAGAGTACGGCAGTGTGAAAATTGAACAGACGTTGATTAATATTAGTACATGGTTCTGTTTCAACCAAATCTTCCAAAATCAACTAACGACAATTGTCATTCTTCCCCCTTTGCTCGGGTCATAATCACTGCCACCAACACATGGATCTTTTGTGATAGTTGTGATATACCAAGCTCAACTAAACATATTTGCATGGAGCATTCTATTTTATTATTGTAAGGAAACATACAACTTCATACACAAATAAATCGAAAAGTTCTAGCATGATTAAACGTCTTGTCTTATATTTTAAATCTCGTTCTGGACAAGTCACGAATGCCTTAAGAGAGTTATAGTGATTTTAATAAAAAAAAATAACAAAATAAAACAATGTAAACTAGCGGTGCCGGTGGTGAAGTAGTCACTCTACATAATGAACTCAGGCAGTTTTTCGGCGCTCTAAGGCAAGGCAGTGCTCTGTTGTGAGCCGATCACCTGAATTCTAATCAGCATAGTTAATTTAAAATAAATACAATACAAGTAACAATCAAACAAGACCTAATAAGTGATCAGCTTTTTTAAACCAAAAAAGCGTTTTTTATGCAGTACCGATCGATCCTATTAATTTTAAATTTTTAGCTGCCAGAAAGTTTATTGAACATAAAAATGCTTAAAAACTAATTTGAAGAAGTATTTTATGCATATATTTAAACTTAAACAGATATTTTTTTTAAATAAAATAAATGGTATAAATTTTTATCAATATCAAACATTAATCAATCAATAAGTAAATAAATAAATGAAATAAAAACAATTTAAAAAAGCCAGTAGACCAATTGGAATGAATGACTTAAACTCGCAAACCCCCACTGTCGATTACTGAAAAATGCTAACATTTTCATAATTTCGTCATTTTTTAACAGAATATTTGTATCTATCCATTGCAATAGAACCGCAAACTTCTCAAGTTTTGATGAGCATTGCAGTATTTAAAAAAATCATTTGATTCTGAAAATATTATGAACTGAAAAAGTGTAAATTTTTGACATTGGGGGTTTGAAAATCAAACGAAATTTACCGATTAAAATTTTTTTTCGGTGCGTTTTGATTTTACTAATAGGAAGCCATCCACAAATTATGTAAGGGTTTTTGAATGATCATAAAATCCCCCTCCCGTCCTTGTAAGACTCTGTTAAATTTGCAGTTTGCAACCCTTCCCCCGAAAGTCTTTCTAAGGTTTTAAAATTTTCAGAAGATCGGTAGATATCGATTCGGGTAAATTGTTATATACATTTGCTCATTTAATGTATTTGGAGGTGTTTTGGCATTAAATCGCTTAAGATAAAATTATGTTTTCCACCTGCTAAATTTTATGAATGAAAATGTCAACCCCCCTCTTTCCCCATTCCATTACTAAATTTGTGGTGATCCCAAATGTTGGAAAAGATAATAATAATGCAAGAAAATCATTTTTTCCAAAGATTTCATAGAAAATTATCATGTAACTACGCTCATACGCTTTCAATCTCATCGAAGAAAGTTGGACTCCAAACAAAACCGAACGGTGGATTTTCTGCGGTTTTGAGTCCATCTTTGTGCGATGATGTCTGAAAAATCAATATTCTCTAAAAAAAAATGAGAAAACTTGAGCGGTTACGGATTCCGAAGACGGTCGTTGGAGATCAGTTGTGGGACTCGTATAACTCCCGGAAATAAGAAACAAACATTCAACTCCAAATAAATATACCAGCTAGCTGCTGCGTATCATCAATTTCTGGTCATTACATAAATCCTTGCTTTTTGACCGCTTGGTCGATCATAATATTACTATCCAATAATTAGTGAATGGGATCGATATTTCAACGCTTAGAGTTCATACTTCAAACCCTAAGGATTCAAACTACCAGTTTATTGGTCGAAAATTGAAGCGACTTCACTACGTCGATTACGCAGACCGTAATCATAATCATCTAGTCATCATTCACTGATCTTTTAAAAAATAGCTTATAATTCTAAAGCAAAGATTTCTTTAAAAATTTTGACAAAATACAAATCAAAGTCTTCACCTGAACAACAATACACCATAAGAAAATAGGGTCAGCCAAAATGGAGAACTTAATATAGTTTTTTTAATGTCCTGCACCGATAACACATCAAACACCCTCTCATAATCTTTTACAAGTGTAAAATTCTGAATTGATTTAATTTTTTAATGTTTGGAATATTTGTGAACGTTCTCCATTATAGCAACATAACTTCGGGCGGTAGTGTACGGTTCATCCATATAAAATCCAGCTCACTGAACTGTTGCAAACATGTTAAACAGTACATTACAATAATGTAGCTATTTTTCAAGACATCATAAAAAGTTTACAACAAGTATTTTTTACGTTGCAGATGAGTGGATATTAGAATTATTTATTTATATTGAACTTCAACAACACCGCAACGATTTGTCAACATAACTGCACCATTATCGATGGTATCCATGTTCCAGTTATGTTGAAAATAAGTAGCAAATGCGTAGTTTCAACAATCATAGAATTTGTTGAGTATGTGCGTGCTTTAAACGTCACTTGTCAGTAGCAATGTGACATCAAGTGGTAGCGACATCGGTGTAGCTTCTCCGCCAGCAGTCATCAGGTTTTGGCATTATAAGCCACTAGTTCTGGCAATCCACCCGCTATTTGGTGCCGTTTCCAGTTTTCCAGCAGCTCCGGCAAATACGAGCTCCGCCTCTAACGGATCCTCAACGGCCACATCTCCGTTAGGCGGTATCAACATATTTGCTGACCCCAGCTCATGCAACAACCAATCCATCGTCACCTCAGGCTTCTCACCGTTCTATTTAACCCTTTGGAACACCCGGTTCGTTGATAGACTACGGCCACGCCAGCCGCTGTTGGCATCGTTTTTAGTCACCATCGTCCCCCGCCATCCGTAATCCTATCGTCCTCGTCGTGGTCTTCCATTTCCTATGCAGATGTTAGCACATGCATAACGATTTATCCGCTTTTACCAATGTTGTCCAAAAATATTTTACAACATCAAAGTGAAAAGACATATTTGAGCCATTGTAGATACTAGATGGTTACAACAAACCTTCACAGTGACAACTTGATTCAGTTGATTGCAAAACGAAGTTTTAAAAATTGTAGATTCAAACGCTTAATTGGAACAAGATTTCAAATAGGTTCTTCAACACATCTTGGTTCGTCGACTTTTTATTAACATTTCGAAACAGTTACTCAATAGGTACAAAAAACATATAGTTCACACTCTGTTGCACCAAAGTTTAAAGAAACATAATGTTTTATGGAACTCTCCTTTAACAAACGCAACACAAGTTAGATTTGTTGCCCAAGTGTTTCGTACTATATCACGTAGCATATAACTTCATACCAATTTGAGTGTAACATGTTTGCTCCTCCCATTTGAGGCATGATTTGACAGGTCATCCAAGCAGTACATTGAAACAGTTTAGTTTCATTATTGTGACCTAAAGTAAATGAAGCAACAAAGTTGAAACTTTGTCGTATCAAGATGTATTTCCTGTACCATTCAAGGAATTTCTGGCAACTTAAATAAAAAAATAACAGAATTGAGATGTTTTCTGTGTTGCTTGGGTAACTCGTTCACACTCTAAACCTTCATCAGTCTTAAGTATTTTATGAACAGGTTCGTATTTTTAAGGTGTGAATCAAACTGGAGGAGAAAAATGAAGCACTTTCATATCCATATATATATTTTTTTATTTGTTTTTATTATTATTATGGTCACTTTAACGCTATTGGGTCATTCGTGACTAGTCCAAGGGGTTAGATTTGAACTTGTGGCTTTGGCGTTAGAGGCATGGATGCTAATCACTACACCGGGGTCACCACCATATACATTGATTGAATAATGACACTTGAAGTGACAACTCAAACACACTTTCAATTCAATATTAACAACGAAATATGTTCAATGTATCGGTGCAATCATCCACACATTTCCAATGGAAACTACTATTTAGAGCTCTAGACATTCTTTCGTGTCTATACAATGCTAAAATGATCGAAAGCATGTCTGATATGCTTGTTGTAAGCTTGAATATCACATCAACCCCAGAGACATTATTTATTCTTGCATAGCACATGACACACCACCGAAAGACAAAAAATCAATGAAACAAATTCAGAACAAATCCCTTTATGGCACTTGATTTTCAATTCACCCTTCATCATAATATCCCTACGTTGCAGTATAGACTGATTTCTGTATTGTTGTTTCTCTCTTGTATACAATCCACAGTAAAACCAGAATCAACTTCTCTGTCGTCCAAACCTAAACAATTAATATCAGACCAAGAGTACAGCTTATCTTGTGATGTGAAAGGATCAGTGCCGGATACCGAGATTAGATGGATGCAAAACAACCGTCTCTATACCAAGGGAAAAGTAGGTGCTCACAAGCTATCCATACCCTTTACTCCCATATCTTCCCTTTGACCATCTAAAACATTCGTTCAAGATTTATGTCTGTGCAGACAAACCAATGTTCTTTTCAAAACCTCGTCAATCCAACCACAAAAGCTTGATTTCAACTCTGCTAATTCTGACTACTACCGTTGTTTGAACCTTTACCAATTTACAGATTGAGACACTGACCAACAGTTCAATAGTGACGTCGGTGCTTATCTTTCAACCCAAGCCGGATGACGATGGAACTATCCTTAAGTGTGAGGGTTCTAATCCTAGACTGCAAAGCTACGTGCTTGAGGACTCGGTCATCATGAATGTTATGTGTAAGTATGGACATACATTTAATTAAATAATAATCAAAAATCTCAATGAAACCCACTCAGTTCCATTTTTGCAGTCGTGACACATGCAGGGTGCTTCTACCCAATGTATTTATCACATTGCATACCATTTTATTTATTTTCAATCAGGGATGCATTTTCACTTTGGACCTTCATTCATTCTATATTTCTTTATTAAAATACGGTGCATACCCAATTATGTAAGTTTCTCTCCTCATCAGACTTTAATCTTTATTTATTTCAACATAACCTTGTTTCTAAATATTTCACATCAAAATGGATCTTTATGTTGACCTTTGTTGTAATAAAGCCACTGAAATCAATGGTTTTAAGAAATAGTTTAAAATATTTTTAAAAAGGATGCTAACAAAAATGAGAAAGTACTGTATTACATATACACTGCTGTTCGATATAATAGCAGCGCATGCCAATTTTCAATCAAAATGATAAATTTTGACATGCTGTAGATGTATTCCCTTATTGAGCTGAAACCTCCACCACAGAACAACAAATATATTCAATTTTGCGAAAACAAAATACCCACTTTTTTACGCTTCTGCCAAAAAGTGAGATGTAAGTAAAACTGTTCGAAATAATATCAAATCTCGGTCTGGAAAAACTTTCAGAGGATGTCGTTAACAACTTCTGGGGGACTCAAATCTTCCCTGAGAAGACAGAAGCTGAAGAATCATCCTGAGATGGTTTGATGAAAACTTCTGTTCTCACCGGTTGCTATTGGTTTTTATTGCAAAATTTTAACATACACACGTGTCCTTCCGACCAGAGTTGCTTCCACTCACTTGCTATAAAAAAATGTTTTTCAGAATTATAAAGTCATTAGATGTTATTATGATGTTTTTTTATTTGTAACTTAAAAGAAGAGTTTGTAAGGTAAGTGTATGACACATGAAACCTGTCCTTTTAACTTTCAGAGTTTCACAATCAGCGATTTTATGATTCGTGAGCGTTCACTCAGAGTGAGCGCTCGCGAGTCGTAAAATCACTGATTATGACTATCTGAAAGCGAATTTGACAGGTTTTATGTGTCAAACCCATGCTTTTCATCCTCTTCTTGTATCTAACAAGTCCAAATTATCTTTATAACATGTCATTATCCAAAATTCGTTTTTTATAGCAAATAAGTGGAAGCAAGCCTGCTTTCGACCATGTGTGTTTTGCTTCTCAGTATCTTCTAAACTTTAAATTTAAGTGCATCGTTCGACAGATTTTAGCTCGTTTCTAATGTTGTCTTTTTATCTAGGGCAACTGAAAAATGCCTGCAATGGTCATAGTTAGAGAGAAAGTTAAAAAAAAAAAACATATTGAAACACAATTTTTGCTTGGAAAAATAATTAAAATCCTTTGTGTTCGCGCCCGTCGCGGGAAATCTTTCGGACACACATAAAAGAACTCGCGGTTTACATACAAACACCTTTTATTACGCGAACACAAAAATACATTTATTAGAGTACGAAATTACTAAGGAGATGTTTCCTCCGCGACGGTTTATTGTAACTGATATTTTCTATCTACGTACCTATGTGCCACACAGCTGACCCGATCGTTAGCAATCCATCGTCAGCTGTATATACATAGGGATCAAGAGTGGACCGGCGGGAGAGATTCTCTCTCATATACAAACTATCTAGGGATGCACATGTGAAACTGTGTCATCGATACTTTATCTTCTCGCTCTAATACTTTGAATTTTGGCAAAATTTAATTTTCAGGCTTGTAATTGCAGTTTCGAACCCCTTCGGATACGGTTGTGTTTTAAGCAAGGTTGCAAAGACTCATTTCAGCTAAAACAATGTTTTTCTAAATTATGAAATAATTAGATGCCATGATCAAATTTTGAATTGGTAGGATACAAGAAGAGGTTGCAAAGAATGTGTTTGACATATTAAACCTGTTTATTTCACTTCATGAGAGTCACAATCAGCGATTTTTCACAAACTCTCTCACTCACTCACTCACTCACTCAGCGATTAGCAAATCGCTGATTGTGACTCATAGAAAGCAAAATTTACAGGTTTTATGTTTCCAACGCATACTTTGTAACCTCTTCTTGTGTGTTACAAGTAAAACATGCCATCATACCATCTTTTGGTTTTATTATTCCGAAAAACATTATTCTAGCTGAAATGAGTCTTTGCAACCTTGGTTTTAAGTTTGCTATCTGTTTTGTGCGTGCGTTCGCTTTCATAGTTTTCGCACGCGAGGCTCAAACCTTTGAAGACTACTTTTTTTTAAATCTGCTACTATTAAATCAAATGTTAAAAATCCAGCATGGCGAACAGAAATAGTTTTTGCAGTGCTACAATAATTATTAAAAGTCGTTATGACAGGTATCCATATGAATTAATCCGTTAGAGATAACTTCGTCAAGATACATAATTTGTCAATTCATTAAAAAATCACTGGATAACTGTTCAAAAGACAGTTTTAACGTGTGAAATCCAGTGTCTTTTAAATTCTCTAAGTGTTGCTGAACGTTTTATATGTCTAGGCATTGAATTGAAAACATTTATTCCTTTATAGTATAATGAATTTTGCTATGCACAAGTCAAGAAATGTGGTGTTCTTATTTCAACCACGTTTCTAGTATTATATCTATGAAAGCCACTTCATCTTTCAATTCGATCACACAAATATCGAGGCAGCAAACCGTTAACTACTTCAAAAATAAACACCATAGTCAAATATACAAGAACAATTCTCTACAGATTGACGAATTTTTAATTTTTTTTTTAATTTGTTGGCTCCGATTTTGATGAAAATTTCCACAGTTGTTCTTTTTTAGCAAAGAAGACAATTTGTGTTATCAGTTCTTCAAATTGAATCACGACTACTTTTCTAACAGGGCCTGTGTAAAAATAGTACTAATGAGTTAAAAAATATATTTTGCTGAAACGGTTTGTTGGATTGATTTGGTGTCTACAGCAAAGTTGTAGATATTATTTTGGCAATAATGTTGAAAATATACACTGTAAAAAATTTCGTTTGTTTCAATGAAAAAAATATATATTTGCTATTAAAAAAGTTGATTTCTCAAAAATTTTCGTTTTAAGCCTCATTGGAGCTCATAATGTTTGCTACAAACTGGCAAAGTTTGGTGATGGTAAGTAAAATTTATGATTTTTTGAAAATTTCACGATTTTACATTTTCATTAAAAACACATGTTTTTCAACCGTGTATATTTTTTCAATAATTGCATTTTAATTTTGCCAACTTTCTCCAAGACACCATAGCAATCAAGCAAGCCGTTTTTGCAATATAGGTATGTTTATTTCATTAGTGTTTTTCTACACAGGCCCTATTGAAAAGTTAGGATTCATTACATCTGATACCATGAAAAGGTATCGTTACTAACAAAACTAAAAAATTCATTTGATGAGTATTGAGTTAGAACTAAATAAAAGTGATATGATGTTCAAACCAGCGACCCTTACTGAAGGAGCAATTCCATTCAAATTGACGATTTTTTAATTTTTTTTTTAATTATCTTCAATTTTGCATAGTTGTATTAGTGATCTTAACGGTAATAAGTCAAATACTCAACACTGTAGTAGTGAACACCAAAAACATCTGTCTGTACCTAATGTAGAAATTGTACCTATCGATCGGATACTTAAATGAGTTTTAATGGTGAAAACAAGCAGTTGATCACAAAGATTGCTTTTTACCGCATACATCTTAAAAAGTAATCATAGGAAAAAAGTGTAACACCATTTGGTTAAAAGGTAAGCATAACCGTCAGTTGTATTTCAATGAAATCATTTTTAAATATTATTATTTTTATTTTTTTTTTATACAGGAAGCAACATGAGTGAACGAGCATGTTTTATCAGGTGCATTCGGCCGTTCGAGGAAGTCAAGTGCTCGAAAGAGCTGAGGAATATTTCGAATATTACCATCCAAAAATTAAAATCGATTGGATATTCTGAAGCATCAGGATTGAATACTGGTTTTCGCATTTGCACGTCCTGCCGTCTTCGTGTTGATAAACAAGCTCTTTTCATCACAAACGAGGAACAGCATGTTGCCGGAAGCTCAAAGATGCCAACTACAGTGATAGTACCTGTCGTACCGAGCTATGAAAGTCTTACAACTGTACCACCAATGACATCAGTTACTTCAGTTCAATCGTACCAAGAATTCACTCAACCAGTCAACATCGAGATATTCAACCGAGGCATTGCAGGAATCCAGGTATCCCCGATAGACGTGGGAAAACTCAACTACATCCACTCGAGCATCCACTTCCTCGAAAAGAAGCACCGTGAAATCAACGAAGGTATTAGAAAGAATCTTTTCAACTTCGAGCCTGAGGCTGACGAAGTGAATGAACTCAAAGAAGTTTTAGAAAACATGAAAAAAAAGTTTTCCAATGCATCCACTGCAAGAAGTGAAAAATTATTAAATTTATCGTTATTGCCTTATTCATGGTCAACACAAAAAGTTATGGATCAATTTAATGCTAGTAGATATATTGCAACAGAGGCTAAGTTGATAAAGGAAGGTCATTCGTCAAAAACCGCAAAATATGGCACAGCCTTAAGTGATGAAACAAAATTGGCAGTCATAAATTTTTTTGAAGATGATGATATAAGCCGGGCAATGCCTGGTCAAAAAAATTATGTGTCTGTGCAGAAAGAAGGAAAACTACAAGCCATTCAAAAAAGATTACTTATGATGACTCTGAGAGAAGCTTATAAACGATTCAATGAAATTCACTGCAATGTAAAAATTGGATTCTCTTCATTTGAAAAACTCCGCCCTAAGCAATGTAAACTTTTAACCAGCTCTGGAACACACAATGTGTGCGTGTGCACATCGCATGAAAACATCAATCTAATTTTACACAGTTTGAAAAAACTTAATCATTTAAATGATGTAAAAACGTTCACTGACAGCCTACTCTGTGAAAACAAGACAACATATTGCTATCTACGGTGTTGTGAAGATTGTCCAGACTCTTCCGCATTAGAAAACATTTTATTAAAACAATTAGAGGAAAAATGCATTGATCAGCTTTCATTTGAACAGTGGGTTACCACGGATAGATGTGATTTAGAAACTATTGTAAAGCCTGCATACGAGTTTGTTTCAGTTTTCTGCTTGAAATTGACAAGTTTGATATCACCTGATTTCATAAAAACACAGCAATCTAATTTTTTGAAAACTACACGAAATAATTTGCAAGAAGGTGAATTTTTAGTTACTGGCGATTTTTCCGAAAACTACAGCTTTGTGTTACAGGATGAAGTTCAGTCTCATCGCTGAAATGTCCAGCAAGCTGCCATTCATCCATTTGTTATATATTTTAGAGAAAATATGCAAGTTAAACATTTAAGTTTTATTATAATTTCTGAAGAGTCAAGGCATGACTCAGTGGCTGTTAACTTATTTATTTCTAAAATGATATGTTTTTTAGGCATTAACCAAAGTAAAAATATCAACAAGATTTATTTTATGTTCGATGGAGCCACGTCACAGTACAAGAACCGGAAAATTTTTGCTAGCCTTTGTAAATTTAAATCAAAGTATGGAATTGAAGCCGAATGGCATTTCTTTGCAACATCACATGGGAAAGGACCTTGTGACGCTATTGGAGGTACAATAAAACGCATGGCTTCTAGAGCAAGTTTGGCCAGTTTGAACGTGAACATCCAATAAAAAATGCAAGAGAGCTTTATAATTGGGCAAATAATCGAAAAGAAGAAGAATTAACAAAATTATCATTTAGTTTTGCCACAACAGAGCAATACGAAAGTATGGCTTCACACCTCAACGAGCAATATAATAATGCAAAAATAATTCAAGGAACTCAAAAGTTTCATTCTTTCATTCCTGTTTCAGAAAATAAAATTAAAGCCAAACGTTACTCAAGCTGTAAGGGGCTGTTCATAAACTACGTAGACAGTTTAGAGGGGGGGGGGGTTGAAAACTATCCACGGCCCATACAAATTTTAAAATTTTTGTATGGACAATTGTCTACGCAGGGGGAGGGGGGGTCAAGAATCCCAAAAAACTGTCTACGTAGTTTATGAACAGCCCCTAATGATAATGATGCCAAAATATTCAATGTATTTAAGAAGTGATGTAAATAAAAATAGAAAGTAAGTGTATTACAATGAAAATAAATTATGTACCATCTGTCCATAAGGTTTCCGAATAAAAAAAAGTAAAAAAGAGCAGAAAATTGTATTTTGTGGATTAAAGTTGAAATTTGAAAATAAAAAAATAGTCGGGATTCGCTATTACAAATTGTAATAGCGAACCCCATTTACTTTTCCAATAGGGTCTGTGTAGAAAAGCGCTTATAAAATAAACATTTTAATACATTGCAAAAACGGCTTGCTTGATTGCTATGGTGTCCTCGGGAAAGTTGTGCAAAATTAAAATGCGATTCTAGAAAAAATATACACGGTTAAAAAGCATGTGTTTTTAATGAAAATGTAAAAATCGTGAAGATTTGAGTTTACCATCACCAAACTTTGCCAGTTTGTAGCAAACATTATGAGCTTCAATGAGGCTTAAAACGAAAATTTTCAAAACCTTAAAAACCTTTCAAACCTTTTTAATAATAAATATAATTGTTTTCATTGATACAAACGAAATTTTTTACAGTTTATATTTTTTACACAATTGCCAAAATAATATCTACAACTTTGCTGAAGACACCAAATCAATCGAACAAAGCGTTTCGGCAATATATATTTTTAAACTCATTAGTACTATTTTTACACAGGCCCTTTCCAAAAAGGAGTCGTGATTCAATATGAAAAACTGAGAGCACAAAATGGCGCCTTTACTAAAAAGGAACAACTGTGCAAAGTTTCAGCCCAATTGGAAATGATCGGTCAGGATCGATTTGCGAACCTTCGTGGAATGCCTCACAATTCTTTGCTTCACCGACAACCATTGTAAGGCGTCTAGCATCAAAGTTGAGGAAGTGAATCTATTGCATCGCAAAATCAAACGCATTATTTTACTCTGCAAGCGCTATAATCTCGATATTATTGTTGCATTGGCCAAATATAAAATGGAAGAACAAAAGTCCAGATGAGGAGAGATGATTGATTTGTATAGCTGTATTTTACTGACAATAGTTAAATCGTTTTTCAGTCGACATAGAATTCCAAACTTCTTGGCAATTTTCTTGATGACATTGTCAATGTGAGAGTTGAACTTAAGTTTGTCATCAATAATCACGCCATGAAGCATGATTCGTTAAGAAAATAAATGTCGCGGTTGAACATGTAAGCTTGGCACTTGACCGTTTAGTTTTTGATGTGTTGTTAGGTGTGTCCTTAACACGATCATCGGGCAGTAGTTAAAGACTGACGGTAGTCATGGTGGGTCGTGTTTGATTGTGTGGTTTGATGGTTTTGATGCGGTAGTTTATCGCATAATCGGGCCCCAATCTTACCACACCGTAAATCGATCATAGTCTCACCGGTGACCTTCGTTCGTGTTGTACGATTTTGGTGAGCAAAGATAAGCATGCAATCAATGGACGTTTGAGTAGTGTTTATGAGTTTAAAGCTGGAATAATTTGTCGGCGTTGTGAGTGTGAGTGCGTGAATATACATGAGAATCTCAAGCGTAAATTTTGATTGCCTCATTCGCTTGCAAGTTTATACTCGCAGGAAGGCTCAATAAATGAGATTTGAGAATGATTTTCCGAACACTGCTGGTAACAGTAATCAGGTGACAAATTATCGCGGCGTATCTATACTTTCCTATCTCAGCTACTGGTGTCTCCCATCATCTTCCATGGTCAGCATAGCTTTATAGCATCGTTATACAATAATGAACCTTATGTGCTACGTCACTACACTGTCCTACTTTTTAAAATAATCAAGTGCTTGAATGCTAATATATGTGCAACTAGAACCTAACTGCCGAGTTCCACCGAGTGATTTTCTAGACTGCAAGTACTTCATTCTTTTTTAGCCTTCCTCAGCTCAGTCGGTAGAGGCACATTTATCAAGCATAAGGCTAAATGGTTTAGAACATGTTTATGGTATTTCCCATATGAGCTCCATCTGTAAAATCTAAAACTTATGTACTTGTTTCGATAATACCGCATAATGTCACTGTCCCACAGTTATTGAAATACTTTTGCCAATTCCTTTCCTCAGATCCACCGCAAGTGACACTGACACTCGGATCGACGCTTAATCCGGACGATATCAAGGAGGGCGATGACGTCTACTTTGAGTGTCACATTAAGGCAAATCCGAGGGAGCACCGCATTACATGGTCTCACGATGTAAGTATGCACTGATGATCAAGCTAGGTCAGTTTCTCTTCCTTCTATTTTACTTTTTTGCCCTAGTGAAACTGGCTGTGGCGACTTTGACGCGTCCTGACGTAGATTAAGTGACTGTAACGAGAAAATGTAGAGCAGTGGACGAGATAATTCATTTAATTTTCCTTGCCCATTTCGTGTTTCCCATCAGCCCTCTAGGTAGGTAGATGCTATGAAAAGGGGGCTGTGTCTGATTCAACGCCTCTGCCTCCAGCGGCAAACCAACAACGTTCCATCGAGGGACTGAGTAAATGTTTGATACGACTCAGTCCAGAGAGCAGCAACGTGCCGATTCCTGGCAGCTTTTCTTGGCAGCAGCTGAACGGCGTTAAGATTTCCATTTATAACTAAGTTTAGGGAAACAGCTCATCGCTAGTCGCGTGAAAGAGACAAGGGATGGCATTTTTGCCTCAAAGTCGACAACGAATAAGTCGTCACCGTTGTCGCTGTTGCCGCCGTCGCTGTTCTGATGCTCGTCATCACGCGCCACGGAGGGATGAATGCGAAATTGAATGAAATCAGCTTAAGAGAGATAAATTGCTCCACGGAATATAATGGCATCATATTTTCTCGATGTGAATTTAATGGGATTTTAATATGTTTCCTTCCCATGCTACCTACACCGTGCGGCTGTGAGTCTTTAGCCCGGGTGCCCGATGTTTTAAAGAGATTTCATCCTCGTCTCTCCAGTTTCCTACCCGGGCTGGCAACGGAATACATGGCTAAATGATTCAAACCATGATTGTGTGGGTTGTGGGGGTAGCTGAAGCTCTGTTGCCTCCATTTCCTTGTTGTAGAAAATTTAAAGCAAATACATAACTTCTTATGCATTACGTACTTGGGTGGAACATACTGTTTAAGAATTGCTTCACGTAAAGCGGAATTTAATTTTCCAGTGTGAATTTATTATACCGAACTAGAGCAGCATTCGTTTCAATAATTTCTCGTGAACAAAACAAGAGTGAACTATTGCATGGATAAATCAAAAAGAATCTTAGACGTGATCTCTGCTGTTGCTGATAAAATATTCCACACATATTTGAAAAGGAACATATAATCAAGATTATAGATATGCATTTGTTCCAGATATATCTTAATTTTGCCTGACTAATTAAATTCCTACCACCTGTTGTTGGTCATGCAGTGAAAGCCCTGGAATCATTAAGTACAAAGCAATATAATGAAAATGATGAAAATTTAAATCCGAAAAGATCATTGTGCAGCGGCGCCGGTGGTGTAGTGGTAAGCGTGATTACCTCTCATCCCAGCCGGCCTGCGTTCAATCCCAATCGGTGCCGCCGGGATGTTCCGAGGCATAAAATCTTTGTTAACGCCTTCCTTCTGAAGGGAAGTAAAGCCGTTGTTCCCCGGTTCATGAGTTGATGGGTCGATAGGTAGGGCCCAGGTGTGGGAGATACCTCCCTGGCGTCGGTAGCATTGGTGTTCAGCACGGATCTGAATTTACGTTCACATTTTGCCTGACATTTCGGTGCTAATTAGCACCGAAACGTCAGGCAAAATTTAAACATATGTTCATATTTATTAAAATACTGCTTAGCTGAATATCTGAATACCATTTCAACAATCGAAACCTGATTTATGTTTGTCAATAAACTGTTTTGGTTTGCAATTTTCTAAAGTTTTCTCTACTCACTCCGTATTTTGTTCTATAAACGAATGAAAAGATTTATTTCGTCAATGTTGAGAGAGAGAAAAATGTGATGCAATTTCAAGTGATAATCTCTTTAAAGACCCATATCGACACTTTTCCAAAATGATGTTTCTTACCCGGTTTTCTAATGTTTTCATACGGCAGCCTAATAAACGCTCACTATAAGAATGGAAAACTCTCATAGTGTCATGCAAAATTACCAATAAACCTGCTTGCTCAGGAGCAATAACCTATTAAAAATGAGCATTATGCTAGTGCAATGTCATGCTGGTACCAATAAAACATAAAAAGTGGCAAAAGAAAATTTGTTTTTCGTCGCTTAAGCCGCAAAAAAGCAACAATAAATTGAAAACTTTCAAAAGTCGGTGTCTACACAATCTCTTGTCCAGGTTAATTATTAACGACATGAACCCCCAGTCCGATCTTGGTCAATAAAACCACGAAAAATAAAAACTAATGCTCTTTCCAACATAACATAAACATCAGGCACCCGTTTAATATTTTCGAAGATATTGAACAAATAATAGAAAATACGATTTGGGTTTGAGACTCGGAGTTATCACCTAAAAACTGCAATTGGTTGAACAAATGACAAAATTAATCAATGAAGAGCTTGCAAATTATTCCATTGTTGCCTGGTAAAAGATGATTTCATGATTCGGGTTTTCCTTAAATCTACGGCTGATTTTAACAAAATACCTGCACATAAAGATGTGAAGAATTATGCTTCGACAATTTGTTTACCGTTAACCAACTCCACCTAAATATGATCGTAAGCTAACCTTTGAAGTATTATTTGCTTTACAGGAAGCACTACTGCTCTCTTGTGAGATATATTCCTTGTGGAATTATATCACTTCGATGTTTTATTTATTGCACATAAGCTCCGGTTCTTCCGCAGACAAACAATTTCAAAGGAATCTAAATATAAATTGCAATTTGTAAAGAGGAAACATAGATCAGTCCGGCGTGACCAAAGACGGAGAGAAAGTTTTATTATATCATCTCGAGTGTAATTAAACCAGCTCAGTTACCCAGGAGGTGCGGCACTTAGCAGGTTATATGGTGAAACTGAAAATAACTATAAACGCAAAGATTTCCCGATTATTTACGAGTTATTCTTGTTGAAACGTATCACTAGCATAAAACATTGGTTGACGGCCACACACCTTTTTTCTAACTAGCACTGACTGTCAACATTAAAACGAATCACCAAAACCAACGCCATTGAGTGTCGTGACCCGAGCAAAGTCTAACATAATATAATTTTAATATTAAAATTATAATTTCATTTCAGTTTAAAATTGATTTTTATTTACATTTAAATTTGCTTTTAATGGTTGTATGTTCAGTACCCGAGCAGAGAATGATATTATGGGAACTCTCGAAGTACTAAGATCGTCGTCTATTATAATTGAATCGAATTTAGCCTCGCATTTTGGTACTGAAGCAGCTCTTGCTTCAACTATAGAAGTAGTCAGAGATAATTAATTTCAACTTTGGTTTGCAAAGGAATGTTTGGATCGAAGTTATATTCCAGAAATGTTCGATATTGCTCCCAATCAGCTCTATGGTAATTGAAAGTAGAGCTGTTGGGATTACAAATTATTTCTTGGGTTATTTCAAAAGTTACTGGAAGGTGATCAGAACCGAAGTCAGCATGGGTAACCAATTGGCTATAAAGTTGACATGAATCAGTTAAGACCAAATCAATAGTTGAGAGATTTCTTGCAGAAGAAAAGCATGTTGGGCTGTTTGATTATTGAATAGTGTAATAACCTGCAGAACAATCATCAAACAGAATGTTACAATTGGAATTGCTTTGAGCATTATTCCATGAGCGGTGTTTTGCATTAAAATCACCAATAATGAAGAATTTAGACCTATGACGGGTAAATTTCTGAAGGTCACCCTTGAGAAAATTATTTTGCTGGCCTACGCATTGGAATGGCAAATAGGCAGCTACAAACGTAAGTTGTCCAAATTTTGTTTCAACAAAAACTCCCAAGTTTCAAAAACTTTGGTTTCAAATGAAAAAAGAATTTAATGTTTGATTCGTCTATGAACAATGATGGCAACGCCACCCAGGGTCCATCAAGACGATCATTTCTTAAAATGAAATAATTTGCGTCCTTCTTAACCTTATGGTCAGGTTTAAGGAACGTTTCAGTTATAACGGCAATATGCACGTTATGAACTCTCAAAAAGTTAAATAGCTCTTCTTCATTATCTTTAAAAGATCGAGAATTCCAATTTAAAATATTAATTGCTTTAAAATCCATTACTGAATTTTAAAATCATGACAATATTGTTTGCAAATTGTACTCCAGTTTGAAAAGTATCAAACATGGAGTTAGATTTAAGCATATCATAAATCATGTCAATTAATGATTTCTCTAAAAATTCAATTTTAGGGGCAGTAATGCTTCCTAAGTCAAAATTGTAAAAATTTCCGTTAGAATTACGTTGGTTAGTATTTTGATTTCTACCCGTTGCAATAGCAGCATAGGTAGCTCCATTAACTCATTGAACATTGTTAGCAGCGAGGGGAGTAGGTATAGATAAAAAATTTGAAGCAGGGGTGATATTTGTACCTACGGGTACGAATATAGAATTTGTTCCTCGCTGACCGTTGTTAACAGCAGAGTAATTTGTACCTGGTCGGACACGTTACCAAAAATTGGATTTGTGGTTTTCACCACAATTTGAACATTTAAATTTCTTAGGATCTTACTTCCTTTGCGTAAGAAGAATCACCACAATTAATGCATTTAGCTGGCATGTAGCAATTTTTAGTTCCGTGACCCCATCCCTGGCACTGGGTGAGGTTTTGGGAATTTCCTCCAGTCTTCCTGAAGTGTTCCCACTTCACTTGGACATGGAGCATAAGGCTAGCTTTTTCCAAGGCCTTAAGGTTGTTTAGTTCACTAGACTTGAAGTGAACTAAATAAAAATCATTAGAAATACCATTGCGCGAATCGCCAGGACGGGATTTCATTTTCATTTTGATTACTTGGAGTGGCACAACTCCAAGTAATTTTGCCAGTTCATCTTTGATCTGATCCAGGGATTCACCACTGGGCAGTCCATTCATGACAACCTTGAACACACGTTCAGTTTTGATGTCGTAAGTTAAAAATTTGTGCTGCTTCTCAGTAAGGTACTTGAGAAGACATTTAAATCCGTCCAAGGTGTCAGCCAATACACGGCATTCACCCCGACGTCCAATTTGAAGTGAAAACTTAACTTTCACGAAATTCAAATAGCATGGAAATCGGAAGTGGTTATCACAATAGGGGGAATCTTTTCCTTCTTGGCATTAAGCCGGGAAAGTTTACTAGAATTTGTCTTGGATCATTCTCATCATCCATGAGCAAATCAAATTGATTACTCAAATAAATTTCATCAGAAGGGGGATCAAGTGTTTGCCCCTTTCTTTTGCGTTTAGGCGCCATGGCGGCGGTAAATTTTTAACCAAATCGACTTCCAAGCAGATTACTATAAGAATCTGAAGGATCGAAGAGGAATTTTCCAAATCGATATCCAAGAAGGATTACCACGGGTAGGGTCCAAACAAGGATCGAAGAGGAATAAGAGTTGAACAAGGTAGAAATTTTACAGGCTGAGCACTGAAAAGTGCTGTTTAAATTTGTTGTAGCTTTAGGTAGTAGTAACACTTCCTTCGGCAAAAAGCAAATAGATCAGCACCCACAGCACTGTTTAGAATCATCATTATGGTGATGGCATTTAGCACAACTCTCCTATATTGACCCATATTCCCAATACAGGTAGGATTATTTGTTTGTAGACAGCTAGCTTATTTTTCAGGGACAGGTTGGACTTTTTATCAATGAGTGGATACAGTGATCCTATCAAGATGTTGCACTTGGTTTCAGTGCTGAGATTTGTCATTGTCATTGATAGACTTTCGCACGATATTGACAACATTGTTCATCACATAGTCACTGACAGACTTGATCCTCAAAAAAACCTTTGTCAAAATCTCATTCAATTTTTCGTCAATGACAGAGATTATTGTTTTTCAAGCAGTTCAGAACGAAGATGCTCTTTAACGACTCCATGTAATTGTTTGCTCAAGACATTTAATTTCGTTTAAAATTTAACTTATAAAAAATCTGCACAGTGTGACAGCATAGTCACTGACAATTGGAATGGTTTGCCTTGACGATGATTGTTAGCTCTATTATGAATATCGTAGTGTATTGTCGAGATTTTGCAGCACTGCTTAATGTTAGTTTTGTCAATTTGCTCCCTGAAAATATGCTTGCTGTCTTGTTTCATCGAAGGTATGGATTTTTAATTGATGATTGTTATGGTGGTCCATCCACTTACCCCTACAAAGGTTTGAGCTAGTTGATTGATCTTTAAGATAATTTATTAGAAAAATTCAAACCAGTTTTGTAGAAAAACGAATTGATTTCATTTACAGATATAAATTCCTTCAATATTGTTCAATTTCTTCGCAGCGGCATTAGTGTGCAAAAGCCGTTGTGTCAATCATAAAAGTTTGCGAGTATTCCCCGATTTATATAGTTATGGCATTCGAAGAACCGCATTTCCATAATGCATTGTCCTTATTTCGTTGCCATGTCTGTAACCGAAATTCCATAATTATTTCATCGTATTGCTAAAAAAGAGGTGATTTGGGTACCAAGCTCGTGATACCTACACTACGGTGCAAAATTGATTGGCCAAAGGCTGATTTAAATACAAACTAGTCAATTTTGACACGTTGTGACTTTGTTCTGTTATGATCAATTGAGCTGAAATTTTGACACAGAATTTCAAATATGCTGAATTTTACGCGTCTCATTTCATGTTTTATTAAACGTTTATTCTAGGAAGGGAATAACTAGTAAGCATAGTTTATACACTGGATCCTCCATTTCCGAACCAAACCGGGGGTTCATAAATCGCATCAGTGCGTTATTTGGGATTTACTTCGTATATAAAAAAACTCGTTAATTGGGATTTACTTCGTAAAAAAAGTTTTTTGAAAATATTATGAAAAAACCCTCACAATATTCGTATTTTTGGAATCGGAGTGACAAGTAGAAACCGGAAAACGATGTTTGATGTTATTTTGAAATCCAAAATGGTGGCATCCGGTTACAGAAAAACTGGGACATACTGTTAAATACCCCACAATATGGGAATTTTTGAAAATAAGGTGACGTGTTGGAAACGTAATCCATATCTGACGCCATTTTGAAATCCCAGATGGTGGCTTTTGGTTACAGAAAAACTGGGGAATACTGTCAAATTAACTGAAACCTCCATTTTCATTTCCTAAGTCGAATATGTGCGAAAAAAAAAACTCTTTTTTGAGATTAACTTCCTAAAAAGAACTCGTTTTAAACTAACCTTCAACATATAAATGCTTTTATACATTTTTATTCTAGGTTATACATAAATTCCATGGAGTAAAGATCTCAAGATCTACAAGTGCAACATGTGATCGATTGTAGTTTATGTATACGGTGAATATGATGGAACTTCAGGAGATTGTTTTGGATTTATGCTGCTGATATCAGCTGATTCTTGTAGTTTATTGATTTTTTTCCATTATTCATGTTATTCGAAATGTTAATTTAACTTAAGTATGTATGATGCCGGGGAATTAATCAATCTATTAAAGAAGAAAACTTTAAATATTTCCAGGAAAAAATCATTGTTTGAGTTAGTTATTCTTTTAACTACTCACTTTTATAAACAAGCACACGAGTATGACGAGCGAATTCTTCGTCATTGTCATTGGAATCATCAGATATACACTTAGAAATAACTAATGTTACACGTGACGGAATCCATCTTTGACATAAAGGATCAGGCGTAAACAAATATTTCATGTAAAATTAAGTGCTCCGAGACTGAAAAGTTTGTTACTCGACGAAAAGTAGATTTTATTGAGTTGAATTGCGCGTCTGTTATGACTCAATTGTATGTCAAAATTGACGCTCGTATATGTCAGTCTCAGAGCACCTAAATTTACATGATTTTTTTCTAAGTGTGTAGATCTGGAGTTAGTGTACATACATAGCATAACAATTTCTATTATCTCCTCTTGTTACGTAAGCTGGCCAAATTTACTTCCAGCAGCCATTGAGAGGCCTCCCTTAGCTCAGTTGGTAAAGGCGCAGCTACAAAGCAAGATCATGCTGGAGGTGGCTGGGTTCGATTCCCGGTTCAGTCTAGGAATTTATTGGGTTGGAAAATTCCGGTCCCTACACGTCATCCCTAATCTAAAAATACCCATATTTTGAGTTATTTGACAGAATTTACAAGCTTTTCTCTATCCGGAAACCACCGTCTTAAGTTCCAAAATGGCATCAGACATCGATTTCTGGTCCCGTCCCAACACGGCACCCTGATTCCAAAAATACCCATATTGTGGGGTATTAATTTCAGAATTTCATACCTTATCGAGTTGGTATGGTCAGATGAATTATTTAAGACCAACTGCTCTATCTCATATGCATAGTTAGAAAGAAAAAGGGCTTACTATAACCTCTTCCAGCCCCCACACTCATATAAATGGAAGTATAGTTCTAAATTGAACTAACTCCGGAGTTTCTTGTCTTATCGATTTGGTATGTAAAGACAAAATATTCAAAAACAATTGCTCAATCACATAAGCGTAGTAGGGGGGCTTATGGTAGTTACAAACTGAAATAACGCGGAGTTTTCCATCTTCTCGAGCAGGGGAATTTCCTCTAGCGATAAAATAAGAATCTCCAAAGTTATTTCAGTTGGTAGGGTAGAGCACTACGTCGTCGTAATCGCCCATTTCCGTTCTATAAATCAGAAAAAGATCAATAATATCAATGATTTCACCGTGCAGAAATCAATGATAGGTTTGTTCCGATGCGTTAGTTCATTAGCTACAACATAAACCCTGTTAGAGCGCATTGTATGAATATTTACGCTCATTGTTCTCAAAATAAAAGAAGCGCTCTTAGCGAATCCCCTTTTTCTACGTTTTACGTAGGACGAAGAAAATCTAATAGCGTTTCTGAAACTCGTAGAACGAATTTAGAATCAAGATGCAGTATTTGATTTTAAACAATATCTCAACAATTTGTGACTCTTTATCAAATCCAATGGTACATATGGAAAGGTGAATAAATTTACAAGTCATCTTTGACAGAAATATTCCATTTTTTTGTTTAAACTTGTTCAGAAAAGAAAGGTAAAGCGCGGGTTGTGCTTAGTAGGACGGAAATTAGATCAAAACCCCTTTCTGAATTTCATTGCTACATCGGCAGTGTTGACAGAAAAACTTTTTTTTCTGCATTTAATCCGAAACATCGATCATTGAACAGTTAAAACCTTTTTTTAGAGACATTCTAACATCAATCTTTCTTGGGCAAAGATGTCAGGCTCTTTCTGGACTATGATTAGTTGCATCGTTCAAGCAAAATTGTAGTCTCTAGGAAAGAATATGCGAAAAAGTTAGTTTTCCCATACTGATTTCCAAACAAATTTCAAATGCAATGCGGAACGCTGGGTTACAAACAATCGTCCTCAAATTTTGCTCAGCTGTTTGGGACCTTAAATGGAACCAAAAAAGTCTTGTTCTGAAAAAATAATCATGATGACCCACCCTAATATATATTGAAAGAATCAAAAGTTATTAATCAATCGTTCTAGTAAACATGCGAAACAAAATTGAAGTAACAATTTTGTTATCTACAACACAAAAACCGTTGAAATAGGTCATCATTCAACCACACTTCTTCTAGATGTTTCCAGGAAACTTCAGTAAAATAAAAACACATTCACATCCAGGTCAACAGTTCAACAAAGTAATTTCATTTCTATTTTTCTCTCTCTCTATCTCTCTCTCACCATTCTTTGCATCTGGATGCTATTTTACAATTTCTGGCTGGATTAACTTCTTCCTAACGCTCTTCGGATCCTTACGGATGCATTCACCGCCGGTGCCACACAAAATGCATTCTTGTGGGATGAAAAAATGCTCTCATGCCACCCACCTACCTCGACGGTCGGATAAAACTTCGAAATCGCAACTGGTAAAATGTTCAACGACTCATGGGTGTTGAAAAAAAAACTCTTGAAAATAATGGCTATGGTTGGTGCCCCATGCACGCAACAAAAAAAAAATCAACCCTTCGACTCTTGCTGCATGCTGCTGGAATCAACTAATGAAAGGGTTTACCAGTGACACAGAATGTGACATCGGGGGTGATTATTTCGACGCGTTCCCTAGTGCTGCAACGAGTTGGACGCTACCATTCCGGCATGTATGCTTGCTCCGCTGCTAACGACCGTGGCGAGACCCAGAGTGAGCCAGTAGAGCTGAAGATACACTGTAAGTACTACTTGCATATACTTTTTCTCAGTAGTTCTATATACCTTGTCATATGTACATATATTGCACTTTACGGTTGGTGGCCATGAGACAATAATAAGGGGTGCTGGCCCGTGCTCGGAGACCAGGAGAACATTGCACTGCTATATACGTTACGGCTTGAGTGCTTGGTTGACAGCTGTTAGACTAAGAGCTAGAAGCCGCATACGCTGGGAAGCTGTTTTTATGTTTTCGCACTTGTATCCTTTTAGCGCTTTCATTAAGGGTAAAAGACAATTGGGCAAACTACTTCCTGTTAAAGGGATTTCTACTTGATCCCACTTTCAACTAGTGCGGTCTATCTTGATTGATGTTTTATGCAGAAATAGGGTGCATGCCGGCTATCGATTTGCTTTAAGAAAATTGTCGATGATAAATGGGATTAAAACCTCACACTTAGTTATATTTTTGTTTCAATACAAAAAAAGAGAAATTCTTGATGATTACCAAACATATTATTTTAAGGCAAATCAAATGGCAACTTACGAATAAAATGTGTGTAATCAAAAGCGATAAGTTTTTATTGCATATACTCTAAATTATTTAATGATCAATTATAATGTCAATCTACCAAGATACTTCATTAATTTAATTTGAATTAACCTCCTAGCTCAAAAGGTGATGTATTTATGAGCAGATTATCACGTTGAAATAAGTTGATGTACACAAAGGATTCATTGGTCTTATTTTCCACCGGAAGCTGATTGAAGATATAACCCCCATATTGTGTTCCTCCAGTATCGTCAGTTCGAAGCAAGGATCAAGATGCAGAAACGGTTTAGATGAAAACCACACTTAACAGAAAGCTGAGGGTTTGTAGTTTACCAGATGATGGCTAGACCACACATAGCCATGTTTCAAGGGAACCGTCATATGGGGGCAAATTGAAATCATTGCTAGTGAGCATGGCTACATATGTTGTTTCTGTTTATTTGTATGATTTTTTAATCCATACTCGTTGTTTTCTAGTTGGATCCGATCATATTTCCCACTATTATCCTGTTAAAGACGGCATCTTGAAGCTGTCATTTATCAACCGAGGAATCAAGTATATAATTTTTGAAATATACGTTGTCCACTCTTCACTTTTCCATGCATCACGCAGCGGTCAAAAATGTAGCCATCTAGCAGCAAACGTTTGATATCATCCCAGAGCCAGGGGTGTGTGAATAGACTGGTCCACATTTATATGGGGGAATTTTTTTTATCGTTTTTTTTTTCAACGGGTTATGCCCTAGATTTGTGCCATTAGGTGAGAAAGCCACTCTTTGTAAATTTCAGCTCATTCGGAACACGAGCTGGCAATTTTGGTTTAATATTTATATGGGGGTATTTGTTGAAATGTATAGATAAATAATATTCCTTCACTCTTTCGTGCATAGAACTGGTTCAGCAAACTCGATTAAGCTCAGAAGTTCAGCACACTTAGCTTAAACTATAAAGAACAACTTTGCTGAAGATTCGTGATGCTGTCATGTTAGTATTATGGAGATATTAATTAATTATGTGCATACTGCTCGTACATTGAATATTTTCCACAGGCCAATATCAAGACTCGTGTTTTTTGGTACGATAACCACTCTCTGAATGTTTCTGCTCTTTTTGAAGTTACACGGGCTGGCGCTTTTTGTTTAATGTTAATCTAGGAGATTTGGTAGAAATTTTCATATACAAAATGCTTATATACATTCAAAAACGAATGTCTCACTAAAACTTTTTTTTATAGACTTTATTTAAGAGATTTTTAGCCTTAGGCTAGTTCATCTCTTATCATTAAAACTAACTGGAGTCATATGCAATCTTCATTAAAGTTGATACTCATTAATTGAGCTAAAAGTTTTTAAAATCGGAATCAAATCGAGAATAAGGAAACTTTTTTATGATCGATAGAGTGTATTTTATCATGCATTTTATCCAAATTCCATTTACAAAATTCAAACTAAAAGTGCCAGCTCTTCGTACAACCAAATGAGCTGAAACTTTTGGATAGTGGTTTTCTCACCTAAAGAAGCAAATCTAGGGGTTAATCTGTAGAAAATAAGCCAGTCTAGTGTGTGAATGGCAATTTTTACACAATAAAAATTTAAACAAAATTTGGCATGCTGACAAAACTTGTGAGCACCCATAAGATCATGATAATTTTATTTTATATCGGTTTCATTTCTTTATTTACGGTCTACAGCATCAGTCTACAGTTTTTACAATACAATTTTTTCATGATGTAAGGGTGGTCATGTTGTCTGAAAGTTGTGAGAAAACAAACGAGTGGACCATATTGTCAATCTAATATAAAGAATTGCGCTCATTATAAGTGCGCCAAAAAGTGTGGAAACGCTAAAAAAAGGGCGCTTTTACGTTAAATAGTTTTGGTTTCTTCGGCGAACTTGGTTCATAAGAAATCAGTGCGCAGAAGGCTCCAAGACAATACAACGTAAAAGTGCACTTTTAATCGCGTAGTTATTATTATGTAGTCTACGTTTTTGATTGACGAATAAATAAATAAATAAATAAATTGGGAACCCGTAATCTTCCCTACATGAAACATGAAACATATGCAACTCGACGAAGAGCGCGTTTGATTGAATTGATTTTCTCGTCCTTTTCAACTGATTCTTATGTCAAAAGGGCCGCTTGCATGTGTCGGTCTCCGGGCACTGAAATTTACATGTCTTTTTTGTAGTGTGTGTGAAAGTTTGTCCGTTATGTTAATCTTTTTCATTTTATTTTGGATAAACTACACAATACGAAAAAGTCGTGTAAATTTCGGTTTCCTGAGATCGACATATGTAAGCGGCCCTTTTGACATTAGAATCAGTTGAAAGAAACGAGAAAATCAATTCAATCAAACGTACTCTTCGTCGAGTTGCTTATGTTTCGGTTTGAAAACACTTAATTTTATATGAAATAATTGTTTACGTTCCATGATTTACGTCCAATATGGATTACGTCCCGTGTAAAAGTCTTTGTGTCTAGGTGTGTAAGAATAGAATGGTCAAGTTAAAATGAGACGGTTCTATGATTGTGATGACAAGTGAAGTAAATAATACGTCAGGACGTGAGAGGTGGATGGGTGAGATGTAAGTGAGTGATCGCCCCGTAACGTGGGTGGATCATCTTTTCGTGGTACGCTACGGGATGTAAAATCTAGCACCGATTCCTACACACTTAGAAATAACTACTTTTACATGAGACGTTATCCATATTGGACGTAAATCATAGAACGTAAACACACATTTATGTAAAATTAAGTGTTCTCAAACCGAAACATCAGCTAGTCGACGAAGAGAACGTTTGATTGAATTGATTTTCTCGTTTTTTAATGTAGGACTACGTCTTTGATTTCTATATGGGGGTACACTTTGTGAAAACCGAAAATGGAACATGAAACAAATTAAGAAAGATTTTGAACGTTAATAATTCAGCTGCCCCTGGTCCAATTTCAATAATTTTATCACCAATCGATCAGAAATATGGCTACGCATCGATAAAAATGCTTCCGAATGTTGATTTTAAACAAGAAACTATTGAAAAAGTGGTGAATGTCCAGCATTTTCCAAAAGCGTCGAATTAACTAACAAATCCACCAATTACGTACATGCATATGCTGCTTCCCCAGCACAGACGTCAGAGAGTAGTAGGTAGACGAAAAATGTCGATGTAGCATTACGACGAGGTTTGGTAGTTCAGTGGTCACCGTTTCTGCTTACTGATCAATCCTGGCCTGTCCCCTTCCTTGCAATTTTTCACTTTGCCCTATTTTATCCCCACTAGATTTAAATAAAAAAAAAACAAATTCTGCTTTAACCGATCGCATCACTTACCACAGTTAATCCTAATCTAAAAATAACCTACCTCACTTACACAACTATCCTTCCCGAGACAGCCGTGGAGATGTAGAGGTATTCTCGGTCTCTAGTAACAATTGGACGTCGAACTAATCATCCTTCCCTCCCCAAAAGACCGTGAGGACGTGGCCGGCGCTGTGAATTGATCTATAGATTGAATTAATGTGTAATGTACATTGAAGATGGAAAGCTTATCCCATGCACCATCTATGTAGTTCTCTGTGCAAGTGGATTAGTTGTGATCATTCACGGAGGAGCAACTACGAAGTACACGGTCAGATAACGTTAACTCGACGGCAAACACATTCATTGATACGTTGGATGATAGAAGAGCATAGCAGGAATAGTGCGAAATAGGAAGCCATGGTCATCATAAAAGTGGAAATCGAAAAAGAGAATTGGCTTTCACCCTTCTGCTTCTAAACCCCTTACAGTCATCGTCATAGCATCGCACCACTTTTGGTTCTAGGGCACTTGCTGGTTGAAATTTTAGTTCAGGATTCACTGTGATACGATCAGTTGTAAGCAGCAGAAATTTCCTTCCCAATTCTCATGTGGAATCTTTTAGTGGCTCTGAAAAGGGCCGGTTTTGATAGATTTCGACGGAGAAATTTAAAGCGTTCACCACAAATACGAAGAGCCAGCTGAATGTCCATTGGCATAATTGTGACACGCTTTGCGTGAATGGCAAACAGACCGACCAGATAGGTCGGTTTATTTCAGTAGTAGTAAAATTTACGTTTATTTTCTGGGTTTTATGTTTCAACATTTGATTTAACATTTCAATTGGTTAGCCTTTGGCTCTTCATCTTTGTTCTAGTTAATTGGTTATTCTAATGTGATGATTACGTTTAGCGCTAATTTACAGGATACCCTTTGTGGGATTGTTTTGGTTTGAATTTAAAAATTTGATAACCTACCTACTTGAGCACCTAACTACTTAAACTAGGTTGCCAAATCACGAATGATCTGGTGGTTTGATCGCAGACAGGCGACTCTGAACCTTTCCAGCGTTGAAGTCTTTCGCTCCTCGAGTGTTTGAAGACCGGCCAGGTGGTGAATCTCAGAATTACGAGTTCGCGGTGGACTGTTAAGGATCATTCTGAGGATCTTGTT